ACTACAACACACGCCATATAAGACTTTACACTAAACAATATACTTTGCATTATGTTATGTGACACAGATAAAATCACACTGTGAAGGAGTTCAGTACAGTTTTAACTATTTTTTCAATGGTTTTCTCATACTCTGCTGCTTCCATGACAGTATACTAATAACTGTTTTGGTCTGAGAAATGTTTTTGTTGTTCTTGGCATTTCACTTGATTTAATTTTGGTAAAAAAAATAAAATGTCTTGCCTTTCTTTATAGAGACTACAGTGTACCAGGAAGTGTTTCTCTGCCTCTAGCTCTTGTTTGCAGAACTGACACAGTGTGTTTTCTCTGGGTTGCCAGGTTTGGTCTGTGTCCACAAGTTTCCCTGGGTTGGTTGTGGTTTGTGTTTGGTTAATGTTTCTCTCGGTTTCCGGTCAATTATGGTGCCTGAATAATCTGCCACTTCCTACTGTCTGCTCAGTGCTAAATAGCAATCAGGTTTACTTTAAAAGAAGCACATTATGATCGGAATATCAGCCGCTTAAACCTCTGCAACATGTGTATGCAGCACACTACCACTGTAACTCTCTTAGAGGGGCAGAGACTCTACAGCCTCTAGGGACACAGGGCCTCTCTGTAGCGCTGACCCCAGCTGGTACACTGAGCTCTCTAGCACTATCAGATAAATGACCAGGATGGGGGGACGAGGTGTGTGAATGTGTGAGTGTGTGTGTGTGTGTGTGTGGTGGGGGGTGGGAGGGAGGGAGCAACAGAAAAAGGAAATGGGATGTGATCAATCAAAGCTAATTCTAGGTCAATGCTCTTCATGTTGAACACACACACACCAACCCCCATACCTCTCAACACAGCCGTTTTACATGCTAACCGGGAACATGATACATTTTTTTCTAACTCATAATGGAGACAACTGATAGCCAATAGATATAGAGGTAAGTATAGACTTCAGAAGACACCAGTTGATTTGAAATTGTGATCTCTAAAGTAAGATTCCTAACCCTTAAAGTTTCACTAAAGTTACAGTCATTATAAAATGTTCAGATCAAATAAGGAATATATTGTCTAGTTAGTCTCTCTCATCACTATTACCTCATTGTGCACAGTACAGTGTAATGGTGTAAACAATAATGGTGTACTGTAAGTACCATTATGTGTAGTACCATTATTACTGTTACAGTGTAACAGTACACATAGCAACAACATGATATTGAAAACAGGGCTGGGCAATATGGCTAAAATTAAAGAAGCGCTCCACCAAGTTTCTCATCCTGTGAAAACTGGTGTATGGTGTCTTCTGTGGCTCTGGAAGGTGCTTTCAAAAGTCTGAAAAAATAATCCTGATGATGTCATCATGGTTGCCTCGGCTACCTACAGACTACAAGTTGATGTTTAACAGGAAGTTGATGTTGATGACAAACTGGGGGTGGCAAATTTCAAAAGTCAAGAGCTTTTACCAGATATGGTGGGGTCTAGCAGAGGGTGCTTTCAAGTTGCATTGTGGGAATTGTAGGATACAGTGTTTTTAGAGCTTGACCTATATTATGGACTTAAAGTCAGGACACCTCAGCCTCTGACGCTTTGATTATGACCTTTTTTGTGCTGGAGTGGCCCCTATTATTGGTAATACCTTGGTCATTTTTTTTGGATTATAACAACATGCAGCTAACTCCTTCAACAATCGTCAGTTTACGATATCATCACCATACTGCCACAATACAACTACACTGAATATACCATATATTCTGTTGCCAGCAGACACCTCAGAGCCCTGGAATCACTGCATCTCAGTGGAAGTCCCTCATACAAGGCAGCCAGTATAATTAGCGCTGTCAAACTAGGTCCCTGAGCAAATGACACAGTCCCCCGATCCATGAGTTGAAAAGTGTCAGAGGCAAGAGGAGCTGGGATATTCACTGGGATGTTAGTTAAGGAAAGAAAGCAAAATTTGACTATATGTCTATTAGTATCTTAATTATCACCTAGAGGTCACAGTTTAACCATCTTTCTGAGGTCAGTATATAAATATATATCTATATATATACAGTATACATGTAATATACATGTGTGTGTGTTTATGCACAGATATCAGCTCATACCTATATAAATATAATACAGGTATAATACAGGTACTGCTATTTGGAGCAAGAGAAATAGAAACAACGACAAAGTGATAGAGGGTAGAAATGTGAGTGAGAACGTCAGAGTTAGGGTGGAGAACATCACCACCCCCACCTGACCCTCCTACACTCTCCCTTCCTAGCCACCAAGCAAAACCAGCAAGTGGCCCTGGAGGACTGAAGGAGGAGGGAGAAAGGAGAAGTGGAGCCCCAGGCATTCTGTGGGTCACCCCATCGCAGGCAGCTGATGCTTGCCTGTAGGATACACAGTGTCTGGATGGGAGGGGGTGGGGTCCCATAACCATCGTTGCTGTACTGCTCAGGGACTCACTGATGCATGGAAAGCCTGTTTTTGTGTGTAGGAATGTTAAGATTTCTGAACTGAATAAACTTGTACGGCTGCAGCTTTGAGGAGCTTTCTAGGAGAGACATCTAAGAATAAGCGCCGCCTTATGGACTTCATGAAACTGACTTCTCATTGGTGCAGCACATTTTCTACATGCAGACACACACATACACAGGCCTGCTAAGAATGAGCAGCCTAAGAGAGAGTAGCTAATTACATGCGAGTCAGCAGCGCTGGATTTCCATCCACGCTCTCTGTAGCACCTCCAGTGAGATGACAGCAAGTTGGCAAGCCCTGCAGCTGGAGGCTTCTCTCTCTCCCTCTCTTCTCCATCCCTCCATCCTCCCAGGATTCCCTCTGTTAGATTACACACTTCGATGTTCAAACTGCCACTTTCCCGAACAGCCATCCAAGCCACTGTGGGATTGGACCGTGACAGCGCAGATGCACAGGCTATAGGGTTGGATATTGCAGTGTGGGTGTTTGTTTCCGACACTGCTGGAAATGCTACGAAACATCCAATGACAAGTTAATCCGCTGCAGTTGTACCTATGCCAGGGCTGAACAAATTAATGCTGCTTCAGGATATGTTATGCTTGTGTGATTCATAGGTAAAGAAAGTGGGGATTTACTGTTTTGATGACTCATGATGAGTCATCTTGTATGTATAGACAGAGCACATTAAAACCAAACCAGTATGGTTTTGCTGTATGAAAAACTGAAAGAAAACTTTACTATTAGGCCACAAAGGGGTCAGGAGGTGTAACGAGAGTGTCAGAACAAACAGTGAAATGCTGGCAGCCAGCCTTTGGTATTAACTCCATGTCTTTTGTCAGATGTTATGTATAGCCCTGCTACTGAGATAAAACCCCAGGTAACCAGTGTGTCCAGGAGAGAGGCCATACTAGAAACATAATTCTCATGCAAATGAGGATGCCAGCGATCCACTCAAAGGCCTCTTTGACCTCATGACGTCTTGTATGTTTTCAGCTTATGTGGCCCGGAATCAGAGTTACTTAACATTATGATGAGACAGTCAGTCAGTCATGTCCCTCGCAAAGAACAGCCTCTTCTGCCCATGCTCAGTCATGACAAGGCTTTGACATCACTGTGAGACTAAGAGTGACTAAAACTGACAATCCCCTTTACCTCAGAGAAAGAGAAATAGGAAAAACACTCAGCTATTGGGGAGAAGAAGGGGATGGGGGTGGGGGGGCAGTGAAAGGGAAGGGAAGGGAAGGGAATGGAAGGGAAGGGAAGGCGGAAAAGGCCTGGATGAATCACACAGCACGCACCGCAGCGGCTGAGGTAGCCGTGTCTTGGAGTACATGAGTCATGTTTATCATGCAGCAGCATAGGGATTGCACAACTCTCCCTCCATTAGGAATGCTGCCTTAGTGCAAACATTTACCTGATGATGGAAAACAACAGCTCTAATGCTTCTAAAAAGCTCCCAGTGATAGTGGCACACACACCTTCCACTAAAGCCTGGGAGGCTGCAGCACCAGTACACCAGCCACAGATCTCGTGCAGAAATGTGGATGTATTTACTGTATCACCCACAATGTAGCCTGATATTCACGCTGCAGTCAAATAAAATAGTCAAAAGACAATATCTCCTGGCTTGTGAGCATGCAAACATGTGCTTCCTTTTCATTGAAGAAGGAAAACTACAAGAAAATCAACAGGATTGAAACATTTAAGGCCACCACCCCGAAATCCCTTACTCCTCACTAGCCTGCCTTCCCAAAGAAGGTCAAACCATTTTTTTTTAAATTTACAATACATCAACTTTTTGTGTTTCTATAACCAGGGCAAGTCGACAGGGTGTAGTATTCCACCATAAAGCAGAGTTATGGCTGACACAGTTAAAGGTTAAAGCGATGACGGCGGAAACGCTCCAGTCCACCTTAAAAACTAAAACCCTACAGTGGACAGCGCCGTGGTGCTGAAACAGCTCCGAGCGACATCTGTACACAAGAGGAGCAGGGGGGGTGGGGGTGGTGAGAGGGGGGTGGGGGGTTCACAGGATCTACCGAGACTTTAACGTTGAAATCACACACACCCCGCGTGCGCCATCGCCACAAAGGACACCTTAAATGATCTTTCCAGTGTCATATTGTGTAATCTCGGTGACGTTCGTGGGGAAAGGTTAAGCAATTTGGCGTGCTTTTTACGTGAAAATGGCGCCCGTTGCTGCTAACCCAGCCCATTATAGTACAGCTGTAGCTACAACAAAGTATGGGGGGAAAGAGGCTGGAGTGCATGCCGCATTATAAAATGATACTCAGACATTAAAATGTAGTACTTTCTTAAGGGGGAGTCCAGGAGTGATGACCAGGTGAGGGGAAGATCCATCTCACCTTGGTCCCGTTGGCTAGTAGTCGACTATTAAAGCTCTAGCTTGGATGTCAAGAGGCAACATGACCCACCAGTATCACACAGAGAGACAATTATAGAAATTCACACTGTAATAACAACCCACAAACACCCGGGGTTATTCAGCACCAACAGCTCCCGCTATCTCCGCCTTTTTCTTACTTTAACATCGACTGTTCCTTCGCTTCCTCCTTCTTCTGTCGGTCCATGACACCGAGGATGATCTTTCTCTCCTCCTCGGTGAGGTGGCTGAGGTCCGGCATCTCCGGCATGGCGCCGGCCGCTGAGGCAGCAGCAGCAGCAGCAGGGCCAGGGCCGCCCCGGGGCCCGTGTGGAGCAGACATCTTTTACACACAGTGGCTAAAAAACGAGAAAAGCACCATCAACCAGCGGCATTCTGGGCGATTTTTTTTCCCTTACATTTCATGCGGTCAAAATTCAAATTGGCGGTCGGGTTTGCTGGAGGCACCGTGGCTTACACACGGCATGACATCTCGGTTAGGAGTATCATGCACATATTACACTGTGCTGCAGAAATAAGCGTCAAAAATATTCATTACAGGCTTCATCCCAGCTATTAAATGCTCATGATAGGGTTATCAACTACGCTGCAGCCGCCTGAGCGCTGCCTGCAAACAGGGGATTCGCAACATCCAAGCTGTTGCAGGTTGAGATGCCAATTTTACACATGAAATTTTCTGAAACAGAAAACACTCAAGATTAGAAATAGATGCCCCTGAAAGAAGCATGAGTGCACATGCTGTAGGCTACAACCTCCAGGTATTCCAAACACAAGCCTCCATCCTTCCAGGGATAAAAAAAAGTAGAAAAATACAGAGGATTTAAAAAAACAACTCTTGCCTTTTATTTTGCAGTCATGTTAAATCCTGTCTAACCCATCGCTGCCATTCTTTAGAAAGGTTTCACTCGCATGTTGGAATAAAAGATGCCCGGTCCGTCCTTGTTTGTTTTCGTTTGGAGTCCTTAACCCTCCTCTGTCACTCTGGTAAGCTCGCTTTCCTCCAGGTTGGTAATTCTTGGAGATTTCTTAAATGCACAAAAATGGATGCAATGAGAGGGAGAGAGAGAGAGAGAGAGTGAGAGAGAGAGGGAGGGAGAGAGAGAGAGGGAGATGGGGGGGGGGGGAGATAGAAAGGAGGGGAAAAAATCCAGATAGGAAGAAGAGGCGGAGCGATGGAAACACGTAGAAGAATAAAGCCGAGAGGACGCGCTGGATGTTCATTGACAGCAGGCAGATAGCGGCCGCAAAAACGCGGACTGGAGGGACTGAGTGCGAGCTGGAGCAGCTCTGAGAGCAGGAAGAGCATCATGCATATTTCATAACCAGATCATGAGCTCCGTGAAAGGGGGAAATGTGAAGTGGGAAGATAAATACAGAATATGACTAGTGACAATGACTGTAGCTGCAGGTGCGGCTGTGGTTCCACTCAGTGCTGTTTTTTTGTGCGCGAGTACTATATGACACACTGGCTTCTGTTGCCAGCTGATGTGAGAAATTCTGTGATGATAAATGGAGGAAAATACAGCTCAAACAGTTCCACAAGCCCTGTCAGCAGAGGAGATGCTGCTCACTGAGGAAAATAAAGATTTTAACTTGACTTTCAACCCGTTTTGTTCTGGAGTAGAGTTTTAGGACTGTTCACCACAGTGGGCTTTAGAAACTTCAGATGGACACTTTGGACTATTTTTACATTTTATTGACTACAATAAGAGAAAATAATTGGTAGATTAATTTATAATGACAATAATCGTTAGTTTCATTCCTATTTCAAATAAATAACTGGACTCATGGGCTCACAGCAAAAACCAGAAAGGCATCAAAAGCTGAATTTAAGACTCCAGGTTTCCACATTTAACTGTATTAAACAACTACTATTAGTTAAACCAAAACTGACTTTTTGAGCAACTCTGGACATCCATCAATCAGACTTTGATTACACCATCATGTTGGCAAAGCCTTTCCATAGCCACTCATGGGGTGACCCATCTTGTATCTCTTAGCTCTGACCCCAGCTAAAAGTCCCTCCACTTGATTGCCTAAAGATGGCCATTGCTCTCTCTCAGGCTGCAGAATTGATAGGATTTGAAGGGCAACATAAAGAGGATAGAGCCTCTACCTCATTAGTGGGCTGTAAGTAAATTAGCACCAGCGCAGTGATCTGCTGCAACGCGTCCAAAAGGGAAGATGGTATTAAGTTTGAATTCTAAATTATTCAGATCATGACAATTGACATTTTTACAAAGCAAAACATTAGTTTAAAAGTTTATTATAAATACACATCAGCAAACAGTGTCGGTCCCATGTGTACAGATTGCAAGAAGGGAATTAGGTTTTCCAAAACAGAGAGGAAACATGGAAAAAGTGATCCCAAAAAAAAAAAAAATGCTTGCTGTTTGTACTAGTAAACCAAGATATCTGTTCTTGCTCTTTAAGGCTGAATATTCTACAAACATCATTATCAATCATCATTTAATGATTAATAATGAGAGACTGCGTCATGACAACCATCCCATTGTGTGCCATTATCTCCATTTGTGTAATTCATTGAATTGAAATTAAAAGACACAGAGGTGTTGGAAAGTGATCGTGGATACAGCCAGGAGGGGGTTATGACAACAGGCTTTTTGACTCGCATTCGCATGTGGCCACTCAGAGCAGATATAACCACTTTTGCCTTTAGACATGGTTGGATGACACCGTATACAAGCTGGTTTGTTTTAAACATTTATTTAATAATGAACTGTATTTTATTTTTGATCTGTACTTTATTCATTTAAAAGAGACTTCTATATATAATTAAACACGAGGAACATTAATTGTTGCAAGGATGATGCAAATAGATACCAAGTCAAGGGACATTCTGTAACACTGGATCAGTTTAATCTGTCCTTATATTGCTATGGAGGTCTTGGATGCTGTGATGGAAAATGAAAACTTGTCCAAAGTAAAACACATTCAGTCACTTGAACTGGAAGTTAGTCCAAACCCTGACTAAAAGGAATCATAAGAATGAAATCAAATGAAAAAGCATAGCTGATCTTTTCCTTTGTGGCAGAAGGTAAAGGCTTTACAAGATTTGTTGTTCTCGTATGCATTTACAGTCTGTGTCCTTGTACTTGGACTGATGCACAACTTGTTAAGTGAAAGTCCTTCCCCAATTAACAGGTTGTAGCGTTTTTTTTATTCTTGAAATAGAGCAGTGTGAAAGTGAAAGTCCCATATGGGTGTGATATTGGGCTCCACCTCATCTCCTGCTGGCAGTCCCCGGGTCTTCTGTTTATTTCAACACAGTGACAATATGCTTCTCCTTCTCAGACACCACAGGAACAGCTCCTGGTCTGCTGTGCTTGCGGACATTCCTCTCCCTAAAAAACAAAATAGAAGAGTCATGAATAACTCGATCTGCTCGTGAGAATATTCAGGAAAGGATGGGGGAGGGAGGGAGAGGTCAGCAAACAGAAAGGAGGAGGGAGGAACAGATTGAATATGAGACTATTGACCTAACACCTACGTCACTGACCGCACTAATGTACCCTGAAAATAATGCATAAAGCATAGATGGTAAATCATTCACAAGTCCAAACACACATCTGACATATCACAATCCTGCCAGTAATTACAAAAAAGAGCCTCAGACTGAGCTATGAATCACTGGACGACACGGCAAACTGGGACAATCAATCCACCATACAAGCGGTAAATGCGTATGTAAGGCCTATTGAGATCATGTCATGGGGGGGGGGGGCAGTCCCATCTGTGAGATTTTCCATTAGGCTGGTGTGACTGCATAGGTCAGACCTATCCTGGCAGCAGCCCAAATCAACATCACCTCTACATGGACACAGAGGGAACTTCATGCCATCCCTGAACCCCTGAATGACAACCTCTATCCCAGCAGATAATTACTGTTGAAAGAGGAAGATTATGAACACATACTTCCTACGGCGAGCCTCCTTCATAATCCTCAGCTCTTTGGTCTGGTGGTAGATGTTCTTGGGTAGGTGTCGGTGATGAGCGATGCGTCGGATCTGCGGGTGGTGCTGGAACTTCTCCTTCAGCTTCTGACTGTAGTTGGTAGCCTCCCTCTCTCTGGGGCTGAGCTACATCACACCAGAGAGGAAGAGAAGATGAAATGAAATTAAACAAATGGAGAAAATTGTGGAAAAATAAAAGAGGGAAAACAGGAGAGTGGATTGAGAGGCAGAACAAGACAAAGTGATAAGAAATAGATGATGTGGTGAAGTGGAGTGGAGTGGACCACAATGACACAGGAGACGAGATGACACGCTGCTCATTCCACAACACTATCCCTATACAACTCAAGTTTTACAGCAACAGCATTCTCAGAACCTGTTTTTTTTTTTTTTTTAGAAAGACACTCTCCAAACTAAATAGCAAAATAGTTCCAATATGACACATAAACATTTTTTAATCCGACACCCCTGTCGGTAATTACAATAATGCTTTCTGATCTGCCATCGTTATGGCTTGATTAGATTCAGAAACCTATTAAACCTTAAACCATAAACCTATTTGATCAAGTTAAAATATACTTGGTTACATTGAGATTCAATGTTTGTTCTCGACCTTGGAAACAGCAGGTGACTGTCGACTAATGTTAACTAACTGTAGGTTTCATTTCACATGATCACTTCATGGACACATTAAGTTGGCCCAGTTGGGAGAAAAACATTTTTCAACTTTTCATACAAGTTGTCTTAAAAATTGAGATTTAAAATTCTTGCTTGACTAATTCTACGATAACTGGGCAAATTCCAGCTGATCACATGATGTAAACAAAAGCTCAACAGACCTTGTGGGCGAGATGGTTTTGTCAATTACTTAGTGAAAAGAAATCAATGACTGCTGGTAACAATGTTGTCCATATCAAAGTCACAAGCTTTTAAGTGCCGAGCTGACCAAACACAGTACATGTGGTCTCCACATCCCTAACGTGTAGTTACATTTTTGAGGAGACGCACACTGGCTACAGTGTAGATACTGCAACTGGCCAAGAAATAGTCTGGCACACAACCTGCATAATGCTGCAAACTTGTTGTTTTTACACTTTGATTTTGTACAGATTAAACAAACAAGATATAACACATTAGTGAATTTAAGAAGTGCCAGCAGGCAGATTTTTATTACTTCTGGACAGAGCCAGGCTAACGGCTTCCCATAGTTTCCAGTCGTTGTGCTAAGCTAACAGACTGCTGGCTGTAGCTTCATATTTTCCAGTCAGATATGAGAGTGGTAGCAAAAGCAATTGTGTATTTACAAAAATGTTGTTTCTGAGAACATAAATGACACGACCTGAGCGGTTGTTTTCAGGGATACACATTGTTTTAGACATTTGAATAAAAGGCCAACCATGAACAGGCTTCTACTGAAGATCAGAACAGGCCAGAGAAGATGACCGTTGCTGACTCTGACCTGTTGAAGATGACTCAGTGACCTCATCACAGGCATTTAACTTGGAAAGTTGTAGCACGAGTGGGAATTATATCACTTATAGCATCTTGGTGAGATAAGTGTTAAGAGGTGTTTTCTTAAATGTCTTGATTTCAGTAATGATGAGTATTTCCAGTAGACAATTGTAAATCTGGAGTTTGTTGCTGACGACAAGATTCATCAAATTATATCATTTTACTTTTGCTACTTAAACATACAAGTTTAAAAAGATGTGGTTTGCTTTCAGCTCAGCTGGTGTTTTGTTAAATACTGACAGCTGCTGTATGGTGTTTCACATCATAAAATGTTGGCCAGTGCAGTAAGCAGTAACTTCAGCTTGACAATGTCCTCATTCAAAACTGAATCAATGTCCGTTAAAAAGTGAAGACACCAGCTCAACAACATCCCTCCCTCTCCGTCTCTCATAAAAACCAGCAGCTACTCAGACTCGTTTTGGCTGAGGCCGCCCTCCTCGAAGGCTTTTATTCTAATTAAAAGCAATGATTTGTTTCAGATTCAATTTGTTGGAGAAGATCTGTTAGATGCTGATCCTGTTCGACAAAACTAATTCCCCTGGATACCCACATGGTTAGCCTGCTAAACAAAGTGTTTGTATAATCTCAACAAGATGGATATGGCAGAGCAGAGGAACATCCTTCACTTTGATTTTGTTTTGTTTAGTGAAGCCTACAGAATCCATGAACTCCATGTGTTAGAAAATGCAACATCGTGACGAAAAAAAAAGCTGCTGAAGCATTTAGAAAGCAGCTGAACTGGGAGACCGTGAGAACTTTGCTAGAATTTCATTGTTGAAAGTGAAGAGGTGAATCTACTTTGTAATCTTTTCTATCCAAAAGCTGACTGGGCTACAACAAGGTGCCAGCAGTACCTGCAAAGCAACAACAAAACCAACATGTCCCTTCAACAGTGCAGGTCAGGATTAAAAAAACAAAACAACAATCGCAGCATGAGCAGGTCATCTGCGTTAACTGCAGGTGAAGCATACTTGACGGACTGCAGGGCGAGGCTGTGAGGTGAAGTACAGCCACCAGGGCAGCATTCATCAAGAGGAGGCATCACTGTCACTTTTATTGTACATGTACTTAAAAATGCTTGCTCTGTATGTCACAATTATGCCATGGATCTTTTTCCCACTAGCAAAGGATAAAACAGGCTGTAAACAAGCCAACAGTTTTCTTAGATTGCTTAAATCACTTCATTTAAAAAGGTAAAACCAAAAGTGAAAGCACCTGAAATGTTAGTAATAATCTCTTAGAGGTGTCTGCGCACAACTATGGCAAGTGATGATTACGATTATGGTTACAAAGTTTGGGTTATAATTTACCGTTCATGTTTTCCTCTTTACAGGTTTGTGTAAAAGCTGTAGGATAGTCTGTCTCACACTCTGGCCACACAGGATGCATTTGTTACGCTTGATTCTACTCGTTCATCTCACACGTTTGATGGAACTGATCCTCTTCTGTTCGAATCAATGCACCTGTAAACACAGGCTGTGCAATGGCATCCATTTCACTATGCTTGACACACGTAAGCATAACCTAAGGTATTTTTTACAGACTTCAAGTCTATCTTATTAAATTCTTCCATATGTAACTACAGTGACTGGGTACTGGGCTCAAATTGTGGGTGACAACACAGTAGAACTGTGACTGAATGCATCCTATCCTAGACACTGATGGAGAACTAAACTGTTGTTGCTGCACTGCTGTCACTACACAGCCTGTGTAGACTGGGTGATGTCCTCTCTGGCTTATGTTTTAGCAATGTCACCATGTTCTCTGGTGTCAGTAATCAACTGAAAATGTTACCATAACGAAGAGAAAACCAAAAAAAAAATGTATAATAAAACAATCCTTGCTACATAATCAATTTTATCACACTGTAAACACATGAACTTATTCATGTATTCTTAATATATCTGTTAAGAATATATATAGTACAGCACGTTAATGTCAATTAATCCAAATGTTTCAAAAAGGTTCAGTTGGCTTTTCAACCTTAAATAAAATGGGTTTTGAGTCAATTTTTTCCAGAACAGATGAAATTACATTTAACCAACTGAAAATAAACAGGAACTGACTGATTCAATGTGTTGGTCTAATTTACGCTGGAGTCAAAGGCCACTGTGTGCAAAGTTTTCACACAAAAATGAGTGGTGTGCATCAGCTGACAGAGAAGTCCCCATCAGTTCAGTGTGATGCCTTCAGACACAACCAAAGCCTTGATTCAGCATTTCAGCATTTCATGATAATTAAAGACCCTCCCAGAACAACTTGATTGTTAATGCTTCATTATGTTCAGAGTAGCCCGCTTTAAGTGATTGGCCGATTTAAACTGCTGATAGGAGCAGCCCTTGTCTGATCTCTTTAAGTGCAAAGCTTGCGAATAAATCTTCTCTTACACAGTGACAGTAAAACAAGTGCCAAAAGCGGGCCAATTTTCCACTCTGAGGCTGCATTAAGAGAATAAGCAAGAGTGAATCCGATTAGGAATGAAAGATGGCTGCTGGAGATGGCACACAAGATGCCACTGATCTTTATTACTGAGCCATAACTGGGATTTGGGGCACTGGAACACTTCCCAGCATTTAACTGGAGCATTATTTGACAGTTGAGCATAATATAACATTAAAGCCATCAGTTCTGCTAACACAGCCTATATCATCTGATACAATACACTGGGCACTCACTAACAAAGATATTAAATGTCTGTGGAGATGTGTCTGGAAAAAGAAGCAGTCTTTCATCTGAATCTTTTGTTAGTGGTTTGTCGAACAACTGCACATGCTTTTGAGTTTTTTGGACTTCCACCTGCCACAAGAGCTACTGTGCCAATTGGTACATTGTACTTATTGAGAGTGATTCTACCCTAAGTCAGCATCTATCAGGGCATTTGGCAACAGCAGTGCCGTAGCTCCTGGCATTGTCACCCACTCTTACCCTGCTGAGATGGGCACGGGGCCACGGCTGTGTCGAAAAATGCAGCTAACTCATAAAACAAGATCAGGTAATACACTGGAGAGAGATACAGTATACAGTATGTCTGACAGCAGAGGAAAATACAGCTACTGATTGATCGCAGACATTATGATGAGGAATTATCAAGAAGCAGGCAAGAAGAAGCAAGTTGCCTTTAGTAAGAAATCATGAAAGCAGGAGTGATATTGAGAAGACGAGCGGGACTCACCACTCCTAGTTTCTCAGCTGCGTTGGCTTTCCACAGTCGGATGTTCATTTCGTCGGAGCCGCTCAGGATGTACTTGTTGTCTGCTGACCACTTAATGCAGATGACATGCTGCATGCGTTTGGTGTGGTAGACTTCCCTGAGTTTCAAAAAAGAAAAAAGAAAAACAAAGGAAATAAGGAAATAAATGCTTTTGCAATTCCCATACTGATACTATAGCACTCATCATAAAGTTAGATTGTGGAAATTAAGGCACTGAATTGCTTAAAAATAAAACTTATGTCATTGTTTACTCAGGCCAGCCAAAACCAACAAATCCTCTGAATTAAATGACAACATAAGTTGTTTGTCCATGTCTTCTAGAAGAACACGTACAAATGTTTCTTGACCTGATGCCCCAGTCGTCAGGACAGCATCGTATTTCAGTGCTTTCTAAAACCGTAACAAAGTTAGGTTGAGGCACAAAAAAATACTTGGTTAGATTTAGGGAAAGTTTGGGTTAAAAATACTTTGTGAAGGTTCGGGAACAACTGCAGTAACAGTTAACACAACCAACGCTGACTGTTGGTTGGAAACAGGAAACATACAGCTGTCTTCTACATGACTACTTTGTTATAGTTTGAGGACCTCCGTCGTCATGGTTACAGTAATAAACACATGGTTAAGGTTCAGGGACAATCACGATCATGGTTATAAAACTGACTATTACTAGGGAACACTAAAACATAGGTGTACTGTATTTTCATGTGACAGATTTCTTGTTCAGTTACAAGTTTTATTTATTTAAGGTTTGTTCCTGTGTGTTTTCTTTCCAAATAGACCTTTACTATGGTGCAAGTACGGCCCAGGTGTATTTAATAACATTTAACGACTGCATTCAATTTAGCTGAGCTAGTACTGGGGTCATGGTATTGTCCACTCACTGATGAGACTAATTGGGGCCATCGTTAGCTATCGGTACAGTTATTAGCAACACCTGTGCTTTACCTGCCATGACGCAGTCAAAACATCTGCTGCGAAAAATGTCTATAGATTATATTGGCTAAAAAAATACCATAATTCTGCTTCCAGTCGAGTTCCTACATCACTTGCTATTTATGTAGCATTCTAAGCCCTGACCTACCCATGCTGTCAGGCTGTCCGACAACACTACAGTAACACAAATGTGGCTATTTGTTCTGGAGCTTGACAAGTGTACAAACAATACTCCATGTACAATTACGTCACATAGCAACCAAACAATGGCTGTGTGTTTTGGGTTGAGAAGGTCAGTCAAAACAAGCACATCGCATTAGCTCTGCCGCCAACATGCTACAATTATCAGAACAACAGACAGCACACATTCTGAGTGGTCATAATAGGAAAAGCACAGGTGTTACTAATAACATTAACAATGGCTCAATTCCATTCAAGAGGCCCAATAAGCCATGACGGGGTGACAATTAGCCAAAGTGCACAATAAGATATGATATAATCATTTTGTTATTTAGACCTGTGACCAGTGACTAGGATGGTCATTTTTGCCTGCTGTTACTGACCTGCTGTGGCCGCCGTCCTTGGGGAAGATGCGGATGGTCTTGTCAAAACTGGCAGATACAAACTCTTTGCCAGTGGGAGAGTAGTCAAGGTCCAGTACTGCAGAGACATGGTCCATGTGCACTGTGATTGGCCGGTCCAGATGCCTCATGTCGTATGTGTAGAGGCTAACGAGACACAAAAATTAGCCCTTTTAGTGACAGTTCATACCGGCTCTTATATAGTTCCAATAACAATGTTCGAATGGAAATAAATCAAATGAGTTCCTTCTTAAACTCACTTGTAGTCCTCATTTGAGCATGTGAAGTAATATGCTTCCATAGGGTTCCAGCATAATGTGTTGCTCCTCATTGTCATGATAACCTAACAAGAAAATGAAAACATACAGTAGATACACATCATGTCATATCCTTGTGAAGAGAAGGGGAGTGAGAGGAGTACACACCTGCATCAACTGAATGATGGACCCCTACCTTTTTGAGTGGTGCAGATTCTCTCATGTCATACAGCACTATACTTCTGTCAGAGGCACAGCTTGCGAGAAGTTCAGTCTGTGGAAAGACACCAAAACCGTTTGTAGGTATCAGCAGCTTTGAATGAGTCTGACAGTGAACACATTGGGGAAAGTTTGAACGTGGAGAAATCTGTCCTTTATTCTGTGGCAGTGTGAGACCTGTCTGAGTAAGGTGGATACATGGTGTCTTACCTCCACAGGGTTGAAGCGGACAGAGCTGAAGCTGTCTACGCCCCAGGTGAAAGAACGGACTGGGCTACTCCTCTGCTCGTCCCAGATGTCCACCTGCTGGCCACATGTTGCAAACACACCCTCCTTCTGATGATGGTCCAGTCCTGTGAACACAGTCTACAAGGAACAAGGATTTTTAAGATAGTCATAATGTAACTTCACTGATGTATGATGATGTAACCATAATTGTCCTTGATAATCAGATGCCCACTGCTCATACCTTGCCTAGAATAGTGTTGAGTGGCTCTTCTTCCTCTCCGTAACCTGGTGCCTCCATTTTCCACTGCTTGATTGTTTTGTCATCACCAACCTGTCACAGAGAGCATGCCAGGGTGTAAAATAAAAGCTTTATAAGAAACCAGCTTGAAAAAATGTAATTCTGAAAACTTTTCTCTGAAGGGCAGCAGTCACCGTAAAAAAAGAAGTTCCACAATAGCGGACAACCATTCCCCGAACAAACCCTTCATGTGCTTGGAGCGTGCGGACACATTCGTGTTTGGTCAGATCCCACACTTTCACCTGAGGATCACATTAAACATCCTGTCAATGGTGTGTGTACAATGTAACACTTCAAATCACAACAAATCAAATTATCTGAAGAAAAAAAAAAAGTAAACTTCATCAGATGGTTACCTCTCCATCACATGAACCGGAAAACAAGGTGGATAGGCTCTTGGTGTGCTTGGCCATGCAGTTTACACCATCCCTGTGTCCATCCAGTGAGGCCAGGAAAGGCTTGGCAAACACCCTCTCCAGCTTAGTGGCATTTAGAGCCCGGGTGTACTCTCTGCTCACCTCAAACGGATGCAGAGTTGGGTCATAGTTTCTAGGGACTAAAAAGAGAGTAGCCATTTGGTAATGAGTTGACAGAACATTTCACTTGCATTGATGACAACAACATTTTTTTTTTTTTTTTATAAAATTGCACTCATCAATACATGTTAATTTCCACACAGTTTTGAAATAGTTATATATCCGATGTTTGCGTTTATGTGAATACACTTTATTTTGATTGTGGCGATATTTCTTTGTAGCAATTCATACATGTAACTAACGCTTATGTCTTATATTACTTCGGGGCACACATGCTGTAGGCTAATTTACAGTTTTCATTCAGTAACCTGTAATGGGTATTAATGTTGCAGCCTATCTTGAAATGTGTGCTATTTACTATGTTCCTATTCTTATCCAAGACAACAAAAGTTCCTACAGAGATAATTACGCGACTTAAATTCAATAAGTTCAATAAATTCTGAGTGGCATTATTTATTAGATTGTGTATGTATGTGTGTTTCAGCTGTTGTTTGATGAGAAGAGTAGCTAACATCCTGCTAGCAAACTATGTTTAGCCTTTCCGAGTTTAAAGTTTATCACTTACCACGCTGAATATCTAGCTTTGTTTCCCGGACATAGTCATCCGGGTTCCTCGAGAGGAGTTTAACTTTCATTTGGTAGCTGAGTAAAGTACAAACACGCTTTGAAAAGCAGTTGAGTTAATTTAAACAACAAAAATATTAGCAAGCACTGGTTAATCCAGCCATGTGTGGATGAGGAAGAGCTTCAGTCACACCGCGTTGCATTGTGGGATGTTCAGTCCTCCCGTTTAAGTCAAGAAACTGTTGTCAACATTTAGCACGAGGAAGGCGGAAATAAAGCCATTTGGTTTTCAAAGTACATACTTTCTTAATTTTATGTGCGAGCGTTGTTTTATTTTGAAGGTTGTGGCCGGAATCGCTGATTGTGGTATCTTAACTTTTACTCAACACTATCAGCAAGGTCGAGCTCAGGTACCGAAGCTTGACATTTTGGGTAATCTTACTTTAGTCATGGGCTGCTACCGCATGTCAAAAACGTGGTTCAGTTGCTGACATGCAGTAAGCATGAGGACGTTTCAGGGAGTTAGTACCGACTGTCTACCGTATTTTCTTTTTGCAGCATTGTCAATGAGTTATCGTGTGAGTGTAAGATTTTAGCTTTACGTCGCGTTGTAAACACAGCTAGCTGACAGCAGCTAGCTCAGTTATTTACACATAAACATGGGCTCCGCTCCCAATCACGGCACCGTTAACGTAACAGAGACAGGACTGCCCAGCAAACCCGTGTCTGCTGTCTCGGTAGTCGCTCATGTCCAGCAGGTCTTAGGCCATGTGAAGATTGAAAACCTGGTCGCAGGACTCAGTGGGGGAGTGGTGTCAACACTGGCGCTTCACCCACTGGACCTGGTCAAAATCAGATTTGCAGGTACAGTATTAAATAATATTTAATGTATTGGTTATTGTCTATTGTAATAATGTAATTTGAGTAATCTGCAATCCCACAGTTGCCTGCCAGTGAGGAGCTGTATCTCTTTCCCTTAAATGGAAGTAAATGTATGCAGAACTGTGGTTAGAAATCTGATATGTAGGATTCATTTGCAAAGGCACCGTGCTGCTCATTTTACAAACTCTTCAGGTGTTAAGTTTTGAGCAGATAGATCATCCAAGCAGCACACTAGTGTCATATCTCTGAGGCCACCATTAAACACTACAATATACAGTATGCTTCAGTGACGTGACTGTTCTAAATAATGTATTATTTGACACAAGTAATAATATACTGCATGTAAATATGATTCAACAAGGGTCTTAAATGTCTGTGTATTGCAGTGAGTGATGGCTTAGAATTACGACCGAAGTACAATGGCATACTGCACTGTATGAAAAGTATCTGGCAGCAGGAGGGACTGAGAGGACTGTATCAAGGAGTGACACCCAATATTTGGGGTGCCGGAGCGTCATGGGGTCTCTACTTCTTTTTGTACGTAAGCAATAAGCCTGTCCGATCATGTCTGTATTGCGAGATTTCTCGTTAATTGTTTTGACATTTAAAATGTTCTGTAACGCTGACATGTCTTAGTTCCCAATTTCTTTCATTACATTATGACTCAAATCTTCCCTTGCAGCTACAATGCAATCAAAGGGTACACAAAGGAAGGTCGTCAAACTGAACTGAGTGCCACAGAACACCTGGTGTCTGCAGCTGAAGCAGGTTCGTACTACATTTATCCCAACACTGCTGACATTCTCACACAATCAGCTCACAGTCAACAGCAGAAAGCTAGATAATACTGCTCTGGGCGGGCCTCGGCCGACAGGAGGCAGATACAAATTAGTATATCGCCCCTCTCTTCATTTTAGCCCTACAGGGTCACATGGATGCGTTTACTTTTAATTAGATTAAGCCAGGAGTTGAAAATTAGCCTTCTCATAGTGTCCCAGCAAAAAGTGTTGAAGGTAGTGAGAAAGTTTTTCGTAGCTGCTTTAATTGCATCTAAGCAAAAAGATGCTATAACACTGATACAAAATGACCTTATCTTGAGTTCTGGTCAAGAGAATATTAAAGTATTTGTATTTACATTTTGTTAATTGTATTTTTACAATTAACTTAAATCAGGTCTCTTTTCTGTTTGGTTTTAGAGTAACTGAGCCATCTGATCCTGTCTGCAGAACTTCGATTTTAATTTGCAGCCACACAGCTCATTAACTGTTGGAAGTAGATGATTGTATTTGTTAACAGTCATGTGTATCTAATAAAGTGGCTGCTGAATGTACTTTAAAATGTCTTTCACATGTTATAAGCTTCACTCTAACAATCCCCTACTATTCTTTACCCAGGTGTCCTAACACTCACCCTGACCAACCCGATCTGGGTGACAAAGACCCGGTTGGTGCTGCAGTACAATGCTGACCCGACCAGGAAACAGTACAATGGGATGGTGGATGCTCTGGTCAAGATCTACCGCCATGAAGGAGTGCCTGGACTATACAAGGTAAGACGACAGTGTATTTTTGGCCTTTTATGTATTGTAGAAACACAAGAAATACTCATCTTAGTTGGAGACAGCTAATGAAAACAGTAAGATAAGTTTTTTTGTGGAGTGTCACAAGAGGAAAAGTGGTAATAAGTCATTACTATAACTAAATTTGCAGCCCAGACTGCCCTAAGTCTTGCTGGACTGTAATGAAGTTTTGTGTTGGAGTAATTGGTTCACCACTAGAGGGCATTGCGACCCTCTGGTTGTAGTAGAGCACTAATCTCTGCTAAAGGAATTTCTAACTGCATTTCAGCTCCTTCAGGACTGTTGGAATTTTATTAGCCTGGCAGAACAACTGTGACCAGATTACTCAGTGTCAACCTGACAGAAGATATATTTAAATAGAAATAGAGCTACAGACATAGTGGAGGGTTTTTTTCTATTTATATATAATATATGCTGTGGGTTTTTTCAGTGACTGACTTACAGAGTGTGTACAATTCAAAGGGTTATGTTCCCGGTCTGTTTGGCACGTCGCATGGAGCGCTGCAGTTCATGGCCTACGAGGAGCTCAAGAGAGACTACAGCAAGTACAAGAAAGTGCCTTCCGATGCAAAGCTGGTGAGTCATTAACCTCAGGAGCCACAGACTGACTGGAAACATGCTCAGCGTGAAATAAAACTCAAGCTTACGGCTTGTAACTTTTCAGATTAGTAAGACTGAGCCCGCAGTTTATGACTACCAGTTGAAAACATGACGCATCAGTTTTCCCACTCTACTCTGCTCATTTCTTCTTCCCTCACTCTCTCTCCATTTGTATGTCTTTGTAAACAGAATGCATTGGAATATATCACAATGGCGGCATTATCCAAAATATTTGCTGTGGCCACAACATACCCGTATCAGGTGGTGCGAGCTCGCCTGCAAGACCAGCACAATAGATACAATGGAGTTATTGATGTCATAAGACGGACATGGAGGTATGATAGCAATCTTCTCACAAATGACTGAACATGCCATCCTAGTATCAGTCTCTAAATTTGGCTGTTGTGTCCAATTTGATTCAGGGTCATTATTCTGTCACTTTCTCTGCAGGAACGAAGGCGCCGCCGGTTTCTACAAAGGCATATTCCCCAATTTGATACGTGTCACTCCTGCCTGCTGCATCACCTTTTTAGTGTATGAGAATGTGTCTCGCTTCCTTCTGGGACAAAATAAATGAGGCTTAGAAGAAGAGCACAGAGCTGCAAAGACTCCTGAGTTCACACACACAAAGAGGAAAGCAGACTGAAAGTGAACTCCCACAGTACATGTAGATGTGCTGATGTGAGATGTGAAAAGCTTTCATCTGCACTGAAAATGAATGAGAAAGTTGCCAAACTGAGTAACAGAATCAACAGTGGATTTTCTTCCTTTCAAGACAGATCCTGGAATGTGATGACGAGGTATCATCTGTCTCTGATTCATCCGAAACTCTCACCATGACTGTTCACCCCAGTGGATGCAATGCTGTTGTGTTAAACTGATGTCTGTGTCTGTTTTTTGGGCTTGTATCAGGGAAGAGAGATAAGTGAAATATTTCATCATACAGTAGTGTAGTATGTTTACATTTTGTTTTCTTGCGGCAGAAAGGGACACAAGCTGAAATGTTAAAAGCTGATTATGAACAGCAAATAGAGATCTCCTCAGGTTTCTAGTTGCATGTGTATGTAATATTAGTTTGTCTCTTAAATTATTTCTGTATGTGAACAGAAAAAATGGAGATGGTGTTTTGTCTAAATGCACCAACATGTCTTCAAAAATGCATTCTAGGTTGACATTATCTTTGTTTTCTTGCAACAGATTGTGACTGCATTGCTTTATAACATTTTGTTATAAAATCCAAGTTATGCTTTATCTTTATTGTCTCATTGTTTTATGTTTCACATATGTAAATATAATAAATATATGACTGTGGCTAAATTAAATTTACTACATGATGTTAGAGCCTCTAATACATTGCAGTGATTATAAATTGACGCATCATTGAGTTAAATTCTTAAAAAAAAAGATTGTTTTATTAAAAGTAATAATGAATATAAACAGGTCACATGAGTACATACTTTAAATATCGTCAATGTCTTGTCACAAAGTCTGTTATTTGGTCACTGAACTCTACAGCACCCACAAGCAGAAAAGCTACAGTACAATGTTTATTTCTGGGCGACAGAATGGCACAGTATTCTTGTTTACAGGCCTGACATCTAGTATAGTATTTTAACAAAACAAAAAAAACATTCAAGTTACCATCAGTGATGCTGCGGTGCCTCAGCAAAAACCATACCTGATCATTTTGGAGGGCCAGATAACATACTTTTATACCAGCACGACTGTTTTTTTTTTATTTTATTTAGGCAGTTCCTCAATGATAATCCTGGATACTGAATTCCAGCCTGTAGACGCGTCACCTCTGGGATAGTCGGCGCACGTCCCCACCCACACGGCCACATCCACCAGCCCTGCTTTCACGCCCTCACACAGGCCTTCAACTGAGGAGAAAACAACAGACAAGACGGTGCAAATAAACTTCAGGGAACACCCAGACCAGCTCCACAGATGGAAATTTGTTAATTGTTTTGTTTTCTGACACAGTGGTGAACTTTTCAAAGTCTAATTGGAGGAGTGTAAGTTTGCTTTAAAGTTTGAAAATTGTTGCTTCCCAGGATCCAAAGCAGTTAAATAACCACTTAAAGAAACAGTCTGTCACTTCAATAAAAATATTT